TGGTTGTCAGCAGCAAAACTGGTTGATCCACTCTGAGAAGGTGCTATTTAAGAGACTGAGCTGAATACAGCTCCTCAGACTGAGGAAGTCCTCAGGATGAAAGACGAAACGTTTCTACAATTTTTTTGTTGCTTTGCTTTGTATAAATAAAGTTGACTTGACTTGTTTTGTTTTTGGAATGTCCAGAGGACCAGATTTAACTTTTTTAGAATCTGTCCCGATGATTTAACTTTTTTGTGTTTTATTTACCTGGATGATTGAGCTTACATATTTATTTATTTATTGATGTGATCCTGCTTTTCTTCAGGTGAGGATAGCATACTGGAACCACTGTGTTTACCAGAGTCTTCAGATGGCGGTCCCAGCTCTCCCAGTCTGCAGTGTCCCAGTTTGGAGCTGCTGGTGTGTCTGTTCTGTTCTGAGTCCTTCCCTGTGCTGCAGAAAGACCTTCTCCTCAAGCACCTGTTGATGGAACACAAGCTTGTCATTGCTGATGTTAAACTCATCACAGACCTCCCCAAGTACGGCTGCTGATGCGTGTCTGAACAGTTTCAGTGTGGTGAAGCAAACAGTTCAAGTTTCAAATATCACTTGGTGCACTGTCACATCACGCTCTGGGTTTTTCCAACAGGTACTTACTGTATTGGAAGGGCAGGTTCCTGGAGCAGCCCGTCACAGATTTCTGCAGTGTGATCAAGACAAACTCCACAGGTCCAGTCGGTGAGTTCAGTCATTGCCCTCATGTTACACTGTGGGTAGATAAGGAGCATCGCCATGTATTTTTCTTTTAGAGAGCTGTAAATGTAAATCACACGCATCGTGGAGCCAGTTTTCTGAAGAAATGTTCTGAGCAACACATTGTAAAGATGATGACAGGAGCCATCTGCTCATCAGTTTTTGTTGAAATTGCAGAGAAACAGGAAGACTACTTCCTGCTCTGTGATGTTCTTCTAGAAGACCGGCTCCTTCGAGAAAAGCTGCAGCAGAAACGACTGGTAAGGATCTCGAAAGAAAATCCAACTGCTGATCGCAGGAGGCTGTTTCCATTTCTACCACATGGATCAAACTCTGTCCAGTGGGAGGGAAAACTTTGGTGTTGTGGTTCCAGAAAGGCTGATTAGCTATGTTTACATGGACATAAGTAATCGGATCAAACAGCCGTTTGGAATAAAACGCGTCATGTAAACACCCCGTTGGGTTATTTCTTGTTTATTCAGCATGATCCGAAATAATTTGTGCTCAGAATGAAATGGGTGGTTTACGACAATTCATAACCCGAACGGTGAGCATGTAAATGCTTTATCTGTTCATTTTTTTCTGATCGTGAAAATCTGACCTGACTGTGCATGTGCAACCTATGTCATTTCCGCCTGGCTAATGCTAATAATATTAGCATGTTGGGGAAACAACAGGTCACTGAGCAACACAAGATTTCTACTAGAAACTTTGAAAGAGCTCCAAACGATCTGTATCACCTGTAGGTCAGCGAGGGAGTGCAGCAACGAGACACCGTCATTAACACCTGTCGCGGGTCCATTTTGGTGCTCAATTCAATTCACTTCAGTTTATTTCTATAGCGCCAAATCACAACAAAGTTGTCTCAGGGACTTTACAGAAACATTCACATAAAAGCCAATTAGTAAAGTTCTCTATTGTCGTGGCTGGATACCACGTCGTGTTCAAAACAGCTGAGACGTCGC